CTCGAATTGTAAACTAGCTTTCATAAGCCTGCCAGTTCTCGATGGTACTTGAGTCATTTCGGATGCATCTACACTGTCAATTGCTTGGAACATACCCAACAACTACTGCGTTCAGAAATTGTTAAGGGAATCAAGGGTTCACCTCGCAGGGCATAAATGCGTCTGCGTTGCCAAGGTCGTCATCTAGTTGCCACGATTAATAATGGCATGTACCGAGTTCCCAGAGCTCCAGTAACCTCTCGAACCAGTCCATGTAAACCAAACAACCAGCACTAAGACACAGGAGACACGTACAGCTCTCCCAATCAAGGTGCTACAGGGTATGGCCTCAATTCTCAAGTCAAAGCTCTTGTCAGAGCACGGCCACAACGTACGAAAGCACATTCCGTACTCAACACTGTTTGAACTGTGCAATCAGCAACATAGACTGCTATATTTGCGATTTTTCTTCGTCGAACTGCGTACTTGTGCTGTGAGTATGAAGGTGGGCAGTAAGTACAGAAACCGTTCCCGCTGGAGTACGCTACAATCTGCGGAAAATGTATGAAAGAGAGGTTTATCCGCTTCAATCCCCTGCGCGGGAAATCTTCCTTATCCTGCTCATATTCTCTAACAGTAAAGCAGAACACAAAGAGAACGTTTCGAATAGATTAAAGCACTATCAGAGTTGGGCATGACGACGCAATTCAATGTCCAGAAGTGGCCGACGAATAAACTCTCATTCACCACCACTCAAAGCATCTTATTGATATTCACCTAGAGTGCCTAGATACCGTAACACCCTGTCCAAGGACGTAGCTCTGCTGTTCTACATTTCACCGAGCCAGTCCCTCACTTAAATTTGAGAGCAATTGCAGACCTAGTAAGCAGTACAAGTGTAAATCTCTTGTGAGGTGTCCTACAGTTCTACATGAAAACATTTCATAAAATTTTATTTTCAAATAAATGTTACAATGACAATATTGGTAATGATATTGATGGAAATCCGCCAATGCAATAAATTCTACAGACAGGGCAGCAGAACATTTCGCACAACTCATTACATGTGAAGTGCAGTTTCAAAACCTTGAATTCTGACAAAACAAAAATTCAGACCATTGTTTCATTCGAAACCCAGCACGGGAGAAAAGTGCAGGCTGTTCATTAAACAAAAGTATCCATTATACAACCACGGTCACACATCGAAGTGAACGCAAACAATCTCAAAGTTCAACGTGCAAAGCAACTAGGGCCACAAAATGTCCTGAAAACCATTTCAACTGAAAAAGAACGAAAAAGCGGAGAGGCTAAAACATCTGCAGCGCAAGAATTGTAACGTGCCATCCCGTAGATCACATGGGCAACCGATTGCGTGCAGGAATGGGCTCCACGGCATCGAAATGGCCATGGCTACGAAGCTGAAGGGAGGAAATGGTGGGGCTCTCGAGAATTAGGGTTTCCACGACAACGACGACGAATTACGGTTGTGCCATACATGAAGCACCTTTTTCTTTTTTTAAATTACATATTCAAGTCCTGAATTTTTTTATATTTATAATAAAAAATAGAGAGACGTGAATGGATGCAGGTGTTACAGTTGTTACAAAAGAAGTTGACGGAAACTTCTGTGAATTTATAAATCATGTTCCACAGTGAATCTTTTTTTTTTTTTTTTTTTTTTTTTTCCTTTTTATTTTCCCAATGATCTTCAACAGCAACCGGATATTTAAGAAATAAATATCAACAAAATTATTGTTTTTTATTTTTTTATTTTATTTTCGTGGTACATTTAAGCTTTCAAAAGTTAATCGGAACTTCTTTTTAAGCTAGATCTTAAAAGAAAATGAAATCGTACATTGAAGGTTAAAATTTAAATGAAGAATTCAACATCTCTAGTTGTTAGAATGATTTCTTAATATGTGGTACATGAACCATTTAGGTGGTGATATATTAAGATGAACTTCAAAATGATTTTGAAAATTGTCTTACAGATAAAATCTACTATAACTCTTCAAAGGACCTTCTCAGCTTATTTTAGACCGAAATTCATGATAGACGCCTATGCTTCAAGTCTAATTTACAAGCTTAACAATGTTGCTTCTTTTTCACTTCGGTGGCTAACTTGTAGAATGCTTTCCTAACAAGTTGTCTCTATGATTTGTGTGAGATTTCCAAAAGCTTGAAGAACGAGCATCTACTTAGAATTTAATATGTGCGCAGATAATACTTGGACCATGTTTAGTCTTTTAACTCTTCTTTTAAGAATAAGTGATTTGTATATCTCTTTGTGTATTGGTTATAATCATTTAAATACTTTTCTAATATTTCAACACACTTAATGTTTGATATTATATCTCATTGTTATTTGCATCGTGGATTTTCAGGTTGAAGTTGCCAGTGCTTAAAAGAATAATGCATTTGTAACCCAAATTTTGCTCACGTTACAATGTAAAGCTGGTTATTTAAAATTGGATGTAGTCATGAAAAAATAATTGAATTTTCATGTATACATATATATAGAATTCATCTTTTCTTACAAAAATAGTTTTGAATGGAGATTATATTTTTGTAATTTACATTAATTACTGATATTTTTATCTAATAATTAAAAAACGCATGTATAGAATGGATTTTCTAAAGTGCCTTCTTTTACAAATTCTTTATGTTGGTAATTACAACCAGTAAACTAAAATATTTCAATTAAACCTCTATTTTTTGCATATGATTAGTAATTTAGTATTTTAATGAAATCTAGGCCTATAATTCAAAAAAAAAATCAGATTGATAATTTTTTTAAAAAATAAAATGTTACAGTGCTGTTATTTCTTTGAAAACTAAAATTGTGTAATTAAAACTTTAAATACTGAAAAGTATGGCATCAGGTGATCCAAGTCAGTGTTTGCAGATTGTGATATGGCCAAGATTCTAACAAAAATTGTTATTAATATTGTCGTGGTTTAATTTGATATTTTTATACACTTATTTGATAGCACCATTGACGGCAATCTCTCCTACAAAAACTGCAAACAATAAAGGAAGAAAATCCACACAGAATGTGATTTGTTATAATGCACCTTATTCAAAAAAATCATTTAAAGAGTTATTTGCTTTGTCTATGACAATTTCAAAACCACCATATTATCAAAATATCTTTGTGTTAAATATGTCAACTCAATTCATTCAACCTTTCTAGTAAAAAGCATACATCAAAAACATCAAGGTTAATGAGGATTTAATGTATATATGTGTATACATATCTCTCTATTCATTCACTCAACCATCCATCCATTCATAAATACGTTCATCCTTCAATTCGTCAACTCATCCATCCATTCATAAATACGTTCATCCTTCAATTCGTCAACTCATCCATCCATTCATAAATACGTTCATCCTTCAATTCGTCAACTCATCCATCCATTAATTAGCGTAGTTGCATGGTGGGCAAGTTCCACTATTAAAGAGACCATGCAATTGACTCTGGTCCAAAGCTTGGATCGAGGGTTAGTACAGTGGCCTACTTGATAGAGTAGTAGGCACACAAACCATAGTCTTTCCACATCGGGAAAACACAGAAAGAGGAAAAAAGAAAGAGAAGGAAGAAAAGAAAAGGAGGAGGAAAGAGTCCAAGTCAGGGCCCCAACAACGTTGTACTGGATGGATGAAGGACACGCATGAATGCAGAAATGGTTGGATGAATGGATGGGCTTAAAAAGTAAGTAAGTTTGGGGATGGGGGGCCTAAATGACGTGAGACACTCTTTGTGCTGCTGCTGGGGAGTGAACGAGTGAGTGAGTGAGTGAGTGAGTGAATGACAGACAGATAGACAGACAGAACCCACACTGAGAGACAGAACCCTCGCTTGAGGAGGAGGAGGAGGTAGTTTGGGTGCCAAGCAACACCAGAAGAACACAGAAGAACACCGAAGCAGAAGAATGCCGAAGAAGGAATGCCAGCATTGTTGTTGTTGTACCATCATCATCATCATCATCGTGCCATTTGAAATGGACGTCTCTGTGCTCTCTCTGTCCCTTCCTTCCTTCTTCAGAGAGAGGAGGGGAATAGGGCATGCAGCAGCACAATAGATGGATGAATGTGTGCATGAATGAATCCACTGATGAACGAACGCCATTCCGAGGTGTGTGGTGATGCCATCTGGCTGCTGGAATTGGCCACATTCATATTGCATGAATGCATGCCTGTTTGCACACCCCCCCCCCCCCCCCAAAATAAAGGGAGGGAACTGTGAACCAACCTTGGTTCATTATTCTGCATTCTCGGCAATCTTGGTGTCGAGGAGTCTTCGGACAATCTTAACCAGAGTGTGCCCGACTGATTCTTACCATTGATTGGGGGTTTGAGCAGCCTACGAGGGAGTAGTAGGAAGCTCTCTCCCCGGAAGCAATAAATAAAATATCTCACGCCCAAAGTCATGAAACCGTGCTTAAAAAAATCAAATAGGGAGGGGGGTTGTGGATGGAGATTCCGATGTGGAACTGGCGTGTTGCATTCGGAACTGCCTCCCGTTTCCGTGCCTGATTGCCATGTGTGCAAGACGATTAGAAAACATCCATTTCACCGACGCTCTCTGTTCGTCATGGACCAGAATAGCGACCCGGTTCCCAAGGCGTGCCCCCGAACTTACCTCATTCGCACGAGCGTACTCAAGCTCGCCTAGAATGCGACACACACCAGTTTTTGCTGTGATCCTCCTTATGGAATGGCGGCCTGACTAAATTATATGTATATATTCAGCTAAATATATATGTACACGAGACATTCATATCAGGAGGAAGAGGCAAAGGAAGGAAGGAAGGAAGGAAGAGGAGAGGAGGGGAGATCCGTTGAAGCCTCGTCCGTTGAAACATCCCTCCTCACTCCTCCCTAACCCCTACCGCCACCCTCCTCCCCTCCCTCCCTCCCTGTCCTCCTCCGTGTACAGCAAGTTCCCGGTCCTGGAATCCTTGTCTTGCGTAGATGTCACGAGACAGAAGATTTGAACGGCAGAAGAGGGTTGGTTGGTTCTCTTTCCCCACTCCCCCTCCGTCCTCGTCCCCTTCGTCCCCCTGCACCGCGTGGGGCCAAGGCCCGACACATGTCCAGTTCGAAGATTGCCTGCCTGCCGTTCCTCTCCCCCTCCCCTCCCCTCCCTCCCCCAGGACCTATGTTGCTGCATTCAGTCACTCGTGTTGCATTGTTTTCGCGGGTTTAATTGTGTTCCTGTGATTTGTGTCTTGCTCCGGTCGGTTTGCTTGGATATCCACTCGAGGCTGCTTCTGGTATTTTTGAAAGGACACATTGATGGAAGTGTGAGAGTCGAGAGAATGGGAAGAGAAAAAAAATTTGAGTCAGCTTGGTGAGGATGTCAGCTCATGCGGAACAAATGCCGTAGTGGAGTTGAGGTTCTGACTGTGTTTTTCTTAATGTTGGGTTTTTTGATGAGTATGAGAGAAAGAGAGAGAGAGAGAGAGAGAGAGAGTGAGAGGTCTGACAATTAGGACATGACGCGGAAGAAAGAGATGTAGGGAGGTGATTAATAGGGAGATGATGATTAAATGGGGAAGAGTCGAAGAAGGAGGGTGTAATGTGAAGGGAGACGATGTGAGGAAGGGCAGGCCTGGAGGAGGAGTATCGCGGGAGTGATCAAGCAGCAGGCGGGTAAGGGGGAGGTTCAGTGAAAGGTCGATTGAGGGTTGGCGATTGTTGGTGCTGCATTCATGTGGCATGGGCGGTAGTGGAAGGTGGTAGAGCTGGAAATGTGATTGCTGATGAGAGGCGGAGGTGGAATAGCTCCGGTGATGTGAATATTAGTAGTTGGTATATGAGTTCTGAGAGGGGCAGGAACGAGCAGGATAGTATTGGACTAAGGTTGCCGCGGTGGTGCCTTCGTCTCCCATTACTCCCGCAGAAAATGCTCGGGAGATGCAGACTGAGAAGAAAAGGGAAGCCGGCAATGTACATAATTACGGAAGTCATCCGCCCGTGGAGAAGGTCAAAGTGGTGCGCAAATCGCGAACTATGGAGATCACGTCCAGGTACAAGAGTTCAATTGCTTCCCCTTCCCCTCTGGTCACACCTGCAGGAAATCGTCGTAATCCTTCGCCTCTTAGTCTCAATCCTTCTCCTGCCAGGCAACCACCCTCGGCACCTTCTTCTCGCCAGTCTTCTCCAGTTAGAAAGGATAGCATTGTTCCTAGTTCCTGTGCCAAAGGACCATCTGAGAGCGTCGTTCGGCACCCTTCCCCGAACTTGGGGCGCAGCAGTAATGCGTCCGAGGTTCTGAAGCGTTCTTACTCGACGGAGAGGAGACGACCATGGCCTGCTGTCTCTCCGCCGTCGGAGAAGAAGACGACTTCGTTGAGCTCCACCACGGAAGGATTGACCTCGAGCGTCAAAGCTCCGCCGCTGTCCAAAGGTCCCGAATTGTGGCCCTCCATGTCTGCAGCCAAGCAGAGTGCAGACTCCAACGAAGACAGTGTGAGTAGCTGTCAGGCGAAGAGGGGAAGGGAGAAAGAGACAACTGGTAAACACCCGAACCACACCCTAAAACCTGCAGGAAATGGAAATGGTACTGCACACGTTCCAGGGACTCCATGTCGAAAAGGCTCTCCAATGCGGCGTCAGTGCGCTGATCAAGCTGAGATTGCTCGACCTACAGAAAATTCTCATTCTAAGCTTGACCATCAGAGGTGGCCTGGCATGCGCAGAGGAAAGAATTTTGGTGGAAACATGACCAGAAGCACAGATCTCACTGTGGAGAGGAAACTGTCTCTCGTGAGATCACCGACGATGACTGGGCAAAGCCGTCCTGTAACTCCTTTGTCTCGAACAAAATCCATTTCTTCTCGTAGTTTCAATCGATCTGCCAATGACGGTCCCATTGCAACACCCGGTCAAGTAGCACTACGACGCAATCCCAGTCCCAGTAGAAGTAGAACAGGGACGACAGAGAGTGCAGCTCAGGTGAGTGTAGCTAGCAGTGACAGCGATGATGTCCATCCCTGCAGTAATACTACATTTCAAGGCGATCATGCAACTCATGCCCGACGGCTTTCACAAGAATCAGTTGCCACTGTGGATTCTCTTTCTGTACCTCTTGAGAATATGTCTGATACTGAGAGTGTGTCTTCCGGGAGCTCTGCACCTGAGGTCCGAGTTGGAAGAGGAGCAACCATTCCTGCCCGTGTGTGGCAGGACATGAGCAATAGACTCCGACGCTTCTCTGAAGGGGGTCGAAATCGATCATCAGGCGTTGATCTTCCTGCAGTCGCTATTGTTCCTGTTAAGACAATTAGACGCACCAAGGTGTTGCCCCACCAATCCGCTGCAAGCATGCTTATGAACCAGAGCATGAATGGGAGCACATCTTCCTGGGCTCTTTCCCCTGGTCGAGTGTCGGGCAACTCTGCCCCGTCAACACCACATCCACCATCATCACCTTCGCATTCGAAGGGCACATCACCATCGAGGGGATTGCCCAGTCCACAGAGGTCGCGGCCTGTGAATGGATCAGCAGCAGCGCTGGCAGGCACCGCTCGAAATTTTGCAGGCACCACTCTGAATTTTGGGATAGATGGTAGAAGCAGAGGAAAGAAGGCACTAACCCAGCAAGAGGAAGCTCAACTGTTGAGAATCCTCCACAATCGCTGGCTGCAATGGCGTTTTGTGAATGCACGAGCTGAAGCAGTAACGCGTGCCCAGAAAGCAACGGCTGAGGTACATAATACTATTCTCATTGCTTCACCTTCGCAACAATCTGATGAAGTTGGAAGCAATTGTAGCTATATCTAGTTGACATTTGACTTCAGAGTCAGCATTTTTTCTTAGTTTAGAAGCTTTTTATTTTATCTCACTCCTACGGCCAGAGTTGTGTGTTGCAATTGAGAGTTTTGTCGATGAAAACGGCTACGGAAAAATGCCTCAACAATACCTGCGCAATCATTTCTCACAGGAGTCAATGTCGAAGTCGTTTCTATATGTCGAAAACATCTCTATTACCAGGGGGATGCTCCTGCTGAGCATCTTTACTGCATTAATCCAGCTAGTTGTAGTTGCCAGATTAACCTTCTTTGGATCCTTTTGCCGATTTATTGGGAGAGGAGGTAGAAGAGTCCCAACTCCTCGTACTTGTGTTTTCTGTGCACGTTATAATGCTGATGTTCTATCTGATGCGGGGGTTGAAAGTTGTGGCCTTTATTCAACTGTTTCTCTGTTTGTGTTAATCTTGTAACGGGTGGAGGGCATCGTAATTGAAATATACGTTTACTCCAAACTTAGGAATCAAAAGTAGTAAATATTGTAGTGCATCCGATTGTACCTGATCGATTTACACCCCAAGAAGACATTCATTCTCTGGAATTTTGATCTAGTTAGACGAAAATCGGATTTACGATTTACTTGTGCCTGTTGACTTGTGTTTGGATATTGCAGAGGCAGCTGTACTACGTGTGGGTCAAGACATCTGAGTTGCGCACATCAGTAGCCATGCAGCGTATTAAACTTCAGCAAGCACGGCAAGCTCACAAACTTCGCTCTATCCTCTCTACGCATGTAAGCAATGCCAATTGTCTCCTGTAAGGCACAATCTACCATCAACGTGATGTGGAACATATTCAGAGTAACTCGCTTTCAAGGAGTTGATCTTTCAGCTTGACTTGTTTGAATCCCTAGTGAGCTTCTCTTGCTTTCTTCATTTGACATGCCTTGGGAATTTCCATCATTCTATCTCATGCAGGCAACCCATTTAGAAGATTGGGAAACAGTAGAGGAGGAGCACTCTAATGCACTGACGGGTTGTATGGAAGCTTTGGAATCTGCAATTTTGAGGGTCCCAGTAACAGGAGGTGCTCGGGTAAGGGGGCTTTTTCGTTTGTATGCGTTGTCATTCAAAACATTATCAAATTTATCACATGCTTGTCTTGATACTTTCCTTAGTCTTGACAATGGCTCCATTCGAAGCTATATGTCATCGCTCTCAGAGCTCTTTAGATTACCACAATCTTGGGGATACACATGTTTAGTGGTATCAAGATAAGAATTGTTACAAAATCATATGTTCTCTTGCAATTAAGCATATTTAAGCAAGAGATATCTCCAATTATTCTGGTTGCTTCAATATTGAAGATCATCGTAGCAGGCTGATTCCATACCTAGACTATACGTTGTGGCTGTTTTTTGCAAATTTCCCTCTTTTGCAAATGAGGACTTGCAAACTTTCGGTACTTTTTTCTGCTCAATACCGTAGTAAGTTGTGGTTTGAACTTCTCAATTACTATCATTGATTCAAACTTGCATGCAGGCGGATGTGCATGCTGTAAAAGAAGCTCTTTACTTAGCAGTAGATGTACTCACTGCAATTGAAGGATCTGTTTACGTCCTTCTACCTAAGGTGAATTTTCTTTTAAGAGAATTAGAAGACTAATTTGTTAAATTATGTAGACATTTTCATCTCATCTTATCGTGTGGATGGACTGATTGCATTAGCCTTGCATGACCTTTTTTAAGGTAGCGGAAATCTCGCTGCAGTTTTTTTTGACAAATATTTTTCACCTCGCAGACAGAAAGTATGAAAGCGCTATTATCACAATTGGCAGAAACAGCAGCTCAAGAGAGAGCATTGTTAGAAGAATGTGGAGACCTCCTGTCTGTAGCAGCTTCTTTAGAAGTAAGCAGCTACCCCAACCTCTCAACAATGTTTACCTGATCATGTTTTGAAGCATTTTAACGAGTATAGTGCTGTTAGTGATTTCGTTTAAATGTCCGCGGAAGGTTTGATGTCGGTCAAATATTGTTGGCATTCACTTGAGAAGAAATAGAGGCTCTAATTGTCACAATAACAAGCTCCTTTACATAAATTTCTTACCAGTTTCTTTTCTTGTGGGTTGATGTGTGAACAGGTAGAGGAGCGTAGTTTGCGTACTCACTTGATCCAGCTGGAAAGGGAAAGACAAAGCTCATACAAAGCTGACCCCCCGAATGGTACTTCGAGTATGTCTGCCTCGTCACATTTATTCACTCCATGAAAGTAGTCCCTGTTGCCTCGTGCATCCTGCTCGAGAGAAACCTTTTAGTCTTGAACTAGAGCAAATTGTCAAATAGGAGGTCTCAGCCTTATAGGTTTCCGATGCGGACTGATTTTTGTGGACAAGCTGAGAAGTGGTATCACCACTAGGCGGTTAGCCAAAATGCATTGTCCCTGTATCATGAGGAGGAGACTTCATCTAAGCCCTGAGAATGCGTGCTCCTTCAATAATTGGTGATGAATTCGACATTAAGACCAGCATTCGTGTACAATGCGATATTAAACAAAGACCGCTGTTTTCTAGGTCCAGGCTCCTCGGTCTTTCTAGGGTATTCATGCCAGTCCCGTCCCTGTTAGCCAGGTTTAATGCTTCCAAACTGAAATATGAAAGACTCAGTAAATCTCTTGAAACAATTGCTGACTAATTTTAGGAGTTTGAAAGTGAGATAAACACATGAATCGGTGTGTTATTATGTTGAAGCTGGTGACAAGCGTCCTCGTTTATACACAAGGATCACTCAGCAGAGTCCTGTTTGTTTTGAACTGTTGTTCTGTTTCTTTAAAGCAGAGTCCTGTTTATTTTGTCCTGCATATATATAATCAGTCCTTAAAGCTAATATATGAAAAATTGTAGATGATTTCTACAAATAATATGATACAAGAGATAATGTATATGATTTTTTTTTGTAATATTTGTATACAATATGTAACATTTGTAATATTTGTATATGATTTTTTGTAATATTGAACTGCTGAATCATAAAATTTTACAAACATCATTAAATATGCATTGACTTATATGTTTTTAATATCACAAGTTTAGTTTGAAACAAAATTATTTTACTTGCATTAAGTGTAGGATTAATATATCTGATTTTACAAACTAATTATAATACCAATACATCAATAATAAAAATATGTTACAAATAAATGAAACAATAAAAACATGATTTAATTGATAGGGCAAATGTTAAGGGTGCACGTTTTTAATAACAACATATTTCAACAATTAATACATGATTCCTAAAAACACACAACTAAAAAAACTAATAAATCTGATAATTGGATTTTACATACATACATACATACATACATACATAATACATACATGAGAAAATGTTATAGCACCTAATTTTGAATTTAAATCCGTCAATATTGATTGTAGCCAAAATCATTGATGTTTGTTATAACAAAAAAACATTAATGAATTATAATAACATAAAATAAAATAAAAAGAGTTACCCAAAGTAGTGGGACTATAACCTCTTTAAAAGTTTGTATTAGGGACATTAGTGTGTCTACTTAGTAAAGAATAACAGGGTCACTCTTGAAATAAGAATATTGACCCCCTCCTCCCCCATTAGATGAAAATTGAAGGCTTAGTTAATGTAACAAAGTTGACGCTTGAGTAGGGCCACCCCACCCCTCCCTTCGAAAGTATGGAGCTACTAAGTATTCCACTTCTGCACAACCCATCCATTCTTTCATTCATCCATCCATCAAAGTGGATGGATGAATACCGTGAATTTGCCAGCAGACACTGGCGGATGGTGTTGCAGCCGCAGTCGCTCTCGAACGCAGACGCGAGGGAGCGTTACCCGTAGACTGACGCTGCAGCGACGAAGACGTGGACGGAGACTTAGACTGAGGACGAGGGAGAGGAGGACTGGGTTTGTTTGCAGGTAGAGTGAGAGCGCGCTGGGGTTGTTGTTGGTGTTGTTGGTGTGCGAGATTGTGTGTTAGTGATGGCGGCTCCTTCTTCCAGGGATGCTGCAGCCACCATGACCGTCCCCACGCCCCCGAAGAAAAGCACCAACTTACACGATCCATATAGCTTGAAGCGCGTCCTCGACGACACTACATCCGAGGTCAGTTTGGCTCTTCTTTCTTCACTTTCGAAAGTGCCTGATTTTTTGCTCCGGAATACGGTGATTGTGACTGTAGTTTACAGTTTAATGCGGTTCTTATTTGAGTTTTTTATTGGGTCCATGTAAAATTGTTTTGGTTCTTGATTTCTTAGTGCTGATCGTTGCTGGCTCCAGAGGGGTTTTAGTATAGATCGGATTATGTTATTAGGTCACCATCTTGTTTTGCTGTACACACCACGTCAGCCAAGATTGGGATTATTTGTATGTTGTGATGAGAGCTAGTATTGTGTTCTGAAAGGTTGCTCTTTTTGGTGTAGCATAGAAGCGGATGGAAGACTTGTATGGAAAATTTACCTGGTTATGTACCGTTTTTTAGGTACTTCCACGGTATCTAACTGCAAGTCGTGTGGATTATGGGTTTGCAGGTAGTACTTGAGCGGGGCTATGTCGAAAATGTGAGGTTGAGCAATCTGAAGATGTCCATAGGCCTGATCACATGCGCCATTGCTTTAGCTGCTCAATTCTACCCCAAGAAATTTCCTGAGAACAAAACCTTTTTAATTGGCTGCATCATCTTATATCCTCCTCACATTTTTCAATATTTCTTGAGACTTGTCTACTCTCTTGGGACGAAGTAAAATGCTTTGTGGTGTCCGTCAAGTATTATATTCATGGAATGGAATTATCCTTGACTATGGCAAGTATGTGATTTTTAATGTGCTTCTGCAATACATCATTCTAACTAAAGAAAAACAGCATATTCTGTTCACCCACCCGTTCCCGGTACGTATCTGAATTTCTAGTTCTTAGTGTATTCTACAAGGCGATTACTCCCATCATAAGTTAGTACTTTTAGATCATGCTTCTACTGAAAAATTCGGCAACTATATAACTCTTGGAAGACAGTAGCAAATACAGATGTGTCTGCTCTGAAAGAAATACGGGGCTTTGGAGACTTGTGATCAATGATATGATTTGTACTTTGGTATTATCAATGACTTGAAGTGAGTTTGCATTTTGTAACTTGACACACTTTCCCTCGCACTAGTATTTGACCATCGGAGTAGCTGGTGCTCAAGTACATGGGACCTGGTGTGCGTGCTGCCCAATTACTGACTTGGAGGGTGGATATCGCAGGGATCATTCAGCGGTACGGGATTGGCAATCTCTTCAAAGATGCCCAAGTCTTCTGACATGTACACATTACGGATAGAAAGTGCGGATCCCCAACACATCTTGGCTCATCCACCTGTAGAGCTTACCAAGAGTGTAACCAAGTGGTAAATCCTCTAATTCGCTTGCTTAGGTGAATCTGAGTCTGTCATTTCATGATTTTCTTCAAGTCTTCACGGCTAACAGATGGATAGTAGTAAGTTATTTGCATTCTACATTGTCGTGAAACACCTCGATGCTTGACGCACAATCTCTATTTCTTTATAATATGCTATATTTTTGTAGCAAGGGAGTAGGACTTGTATTGCACGGGATGTCAAGTCTTTTACGCTGATTACATTTGTTGAGATCTTTCATGCAGTATATTCTATGCTTGCTGATTCTTTGTGAGAGGTTTACCTGCTGGCAATGATTTTCTCATATTGAAGGTGAGATTCTCATCTTGCTAAGAATCACTTACAGAGTAGTTGTATACCTCCTCAGGTTTACAAAAGATGGAGTTTTGGCGGAGGGCATCTTTTGGGACGACGTTGAGAGTTTACTGGATGAATATGAGAACGAGTCTCGCAAGTCGAAGTGAGAACAGTGGACTCGGAGAAATGTTCTTAATCTCATTGTTCAAACTCAACTTTTCGCAAAGTATTGTTTTGCAACCCCTTTCATCTGGCACTCGCACCGGAACTGCCAAAGAAATCAATCATTTTAGACTATCCCGTTTCGATGATGAGTACTAGGGGTGTCTCAGTATATTGATATTGTCTGAGACTCCAAAATGGCTGAGGACCACAACTTATATTTCTGCAAGTTTAGTCCTTATGTACGAAGGTCTCACGAGATATGCATAAAGCAGGCTGTTTGTTGTACTCCTAAACCTTTCTAATTTCTCATATTTTTCTTAACTGTTGATACTTTCATAATACGTGGCTTGAAATCGTGGATGTGGAGGCTATGTGTAAACTTAGAGTTAGCGATTCTGCACCACTAAGTGATCGAAACGGTCAGAATGATTCCACAAAACCCTAGACATAGTAGGCCTACTCCTGAAAATCATTTAAATCATTCGATGTCATCGTTACAGTTTGTATGATTCTATAGAGACTAATGCAGTCTCATCCTCTGACTAAAGATAAGCAGCTTGATGTAGTATTCACACTGATAAAGTGAAGTTTGTATGTGCCACTAATCACCAATTTCTGTGATCGTTTTCTTATTAAACCCGGTCGGTGGCCCAAATTTTAAACTTAAAACGGGAAGTGCACAGCACAAGTATACCATCATGCATGAGCAGTGGATAGAGTCCCCACTTCGGTGCAGACGACTTCCCATGGGTCTCCAGCAAATAGGATGTTGAGAGACATATGAACCTCTTGAACACAAAATTTCCACTTGGGAGCAATCCATGGGCAGTCACAGCGAGGAGTGGAGTTAGCACTTAAAGAAGAATGGAAGAGCGTTCCATCCAGTCACAATCCACTGTTCAAAATTCAAGGAGGTTCGCATTGAGGAGACCTCCCTTGACATGCAGCGTCCGCCATCGCCACCCCCGGTTCTATTACTGCCCACATTGACCCTCTATCTGTGGCGCAGTAATTCTAATTCTCAGGTATCAGACTGTCCACTTAATTTTCTTTTGAATTGATTTTTTCCATGAACTTCTGACTATAGAATGGCTCAGAATTCAGTCTTATTGCAGCAACTATGGTGATTGTGTGGTGAGGTGTACTATATCTGAGAACTCGGTTACGGCTGTTACTTGGAAGGGTTGGTTGTAGGTTGAAGGTTTAGGGTACAGCTATGCGGGGGTTTGAAGAGAAGTCTGCCAGAAATGGACAAGTGGAGGCAGAGGTGGGAGTTGAATTGGTGTTTTTCATGGGTTTGAGCTGTTTGTATCTCGGAGGGTGCATTTCCTCCAATTATTCCTCCTCTAGTAGCTGCGAGTCTTCATATATAGGTGGCCATCAAAGCATGATAGAATTCAGTTTTGGTGTTCTGACAACGCCCTCTCATGTGCTCTGACAACATTAGGGTTCATGCGAGCAAAAGAGAACCGGGCCGCCATCGCTTTATTGTGGTCTTTGTTGCAGCCAGGTCTGGGATATTGTGTATGAAAACTGTACCAAGCTGGTGAGAATGTGAAATCTTAGGACATGCTGTTGAGGGCCAACGGTGGAGTGTCAGTTTTGGACTGGGACGGTCTGTGCGAGAATACAAGAGGCGTGTTTCTCGTACATGTCGTGTTTCCGAGCTTTGCAGCGTTTTTCTGTGAGCCTTTGGGATTAAATGAGTGCTCGGAAGCGGGCATCAGGAAGGAAATGGCCTTAAGAAACAGTAGAGGCCTAAAGAATCAGGTTTAGCATAAAAAGGCTTATGATGAAATTGTAAAGGAGTGTAGGGAGTGTGAAGAGGAAACGCTGGCGCGCAGAGGGGCACCTGATGGCAGATCCGCCTCAACCGCAAATAAATTTCGGGGCATATCATGCGAAATTGAAAGGGCAAGGCAAGAGATACGCAAACATCATTTCGAACCTGGTTAGGGAGGAAGGAGGAGGCAAAAGAGGGGAAGCATGCTGAGTGTGGTGCGGGTGCATCTTCCGACGGACATTCCAATTGTAGGGTGTGAGTTGTCGGCCTATGTGCTACTGCGTCGCGGTGACTCGAACCTTTCTCCCGATGATGTCACCGAGGCGTCGTCAACCGACAGTTGTTTTCTCCAGTGCCGCTGGTACTGAACTCACACCTGTACAAGTTTTGTTTTTAGATCAATAACAATCGAACACGAGCACCATTTGAGTAGCATCCAGATGGTTTTGAAGGTGGTTGTCTGTCTTGGTAAAAAAAATAAAATCACAATAATGGTTTTCTTATTCTAGTCTAAATCATAACAGCCCACATCTTCGAATGATGATGCTTTCTCAAGTAAACGATGTAGAGTTCTACGTCCATTGGAGGCGAATGGCAGGTCTGTAGTCAGCTGAAGTAATCACTGCGGTATATGTTCTGTGGTGAATGTGCCTTTTTTCATTGGGTTGAGCGTTAAATACTATTTCGCTCAGCAGTACGGCCTTCTTGACCTGTAATGGAAATGTTTTGTGGATGAAGTTGAAGTTGAAGTGACTGCAGGATATTATTTGTGCAACTGTGTAGTTTGTCGCGCGCTTCTTTCTTTGAAATTTTTGTTGAGTCTGCGCTGCTATTTTTCAAAAACTGAAGTATTAATCAGAACTACGAGAGAATAATTTGTTATCTTTGTGTTGAACAAACAGGTTTCGACTGCAGGGTGAGCAGAAAGTTTTAGTCTGCTGTATTCACCCATCTGAGCCTGCTACACTGCAGTGTGTGCAGTGCTTTAAAGCAAAACTTGCCCAGTCGCAGAGTTTGCATTGCACGCAGAAGTGTTTCATTGACTCATGGCGGCATCATGTTACCATGCACCAACAGGCCGCTGACAAGCGAGAAAACGGCCTTGAAGAAGGTGAATCCCCTTTTATGTTCGACTTGAATGCAGCGAAGGCTCTGCGATCACTTGATAGGAGTCTATCCAGTGCTGCGACACACACCGCCCACCACAGTAATGGATCCATATATTCCAGCCCCTTTCGGATGGAGTCTCACAACCAGAACCGAGAAGCCGGTGATATATGGTGTGAGGTTGGACAAGGGAGAACTTACACGCCCACAACACAGGATATAGTCACATACTGAAGATAGAATGTGCGGCAATCGATGGAAGTACCAGGCGACCAACGGCTGCTGCTCATCAGAGGAAAACATCCCGCGTGATTCCTGCACCATCGCCTACCCCTCGCCGGTTGCTGTCACTAAATTCATTGGAAGGAATGGTCACTGAGGAACGACAGTCGAGTTCGGGTACTTTCACTTTGTTATCGTACAATATTCTGTCAGATCTGTATGCCAACAGTGACCAATACAGCTACTGCCCCCCGTGGGCATTGGCGTGGACATACAGGAGACAGAACCTGCTACGAGAGATTGTAGCGTACCGAGCAGATATTCTGTGTCTTCAGGAGGTATGCATCAATCGTTATGGGGAGGTGGGCAACACACTTGTTTCGTTGCGATATAGTCTACGTAAGGTCTCATAGCTACTGTCCGAAGACAATCACCTCTTAACAGTACTATTGGCGAGTTAGCTGTCGTTCGAGCAGGCAATATACTTCAGCATCTCATTTGTGAAGTTTTTAGACGATTTTTGGATAATAGAATGGTATGAGTGGACTGGTGAGCTTCACCCCGCAGGTGCAAAGCGATCATTACGAAGAGTTTTTTGCGCCAGGGTTAGAAAAGCATGGTTACACGAGTATTTACAAGAAGAAGACTGGCGAGGTAATACTACTCTTTTTCTTCTTGTTTGGACTTGTGTCCTTTCAGCTTAACCACCGACGTTAGCATTAATTAGTATGAAGCCCTTCATTGGTTATGAACAAGCAGGGTTTCTCAGAGGATGTGACGTAGGAAGAATATTGCTGTAGACTAACCTGTTTTTGGTGATACTTTCAGGTTTATACAGGCTCTATTTATGTTATTGATGGTTGTGCAACCTTCTTCCGACGCGATCGCTTTTCCTTAGTGAAGAAATATGAGGTAAGGTGCTGAGGTTCTGATAGGGATTGCTTTTCAACTTGCACGATTGGTCTGCCCAAGCAGTTGTAAAGAGTTTCAGGACGAGGTATCAGTTGGAGTTTGCATTATTGTTGATGTGCCAGTATCTTCTTGTGTCTCTTTACATCATCTTGGTCCCGTCCAAGATGTTGGAATTTATATCGTGGCGGTTGAAATATTTATATTACTAGGGTTAACACGTAGTGTAATGGTTTAATATACTCGTGAAATGTTTGTATTGTTTTGTCTTAAGCATTTACTAATGTCTACTTATTTGTCAGTCACGTTATTGTTATCAAATTTTACAAAGGTTCAGTTCAATTGTGATGTTTGTGAAGTACTCTAATGTTTGTCTCCCTGTTGTGCAAGTGTGACATTAATTGTCTATTTTGCAGGTAGAGTTTAATAAAGCTGCGCAGTCTTTGTCAGAGGCTTTGATACCAACAACGAAGAAAGCGGCTTTGAGTCGGCTTTTGAAGGTCAGGCTAAGTTTCGAATGTATTGTTTAAATGATACTTGTACCGTATGTCATGGTGGATAACCTTCTGGTGTGGGTGCCCTTGTAAAGCCTTAGGAGTTTTGTGTGTTCTCAGATCTTGTCGCTCCCTAAATGGCTCCTTCTCAGGATATGCTTTTCTATATTTTATCCTTTGCAACCTAATGAAAAAGATTATGTCGAATGCAGACAATTTCTATCAAGATGATTGTTTTTAAAATATTTTTTCGTTTTATAAAGTAGTTTCCGGCTTATTTTATCGAATGAGGTGCCCGACGAGTTGAGCTTCTGCTCCACCTTGTACAGGATAATGTAGCTTTGATCGTGGTTCTGGAAGCTCGCGATACTGGAGGATTTATGGGTACTCAAGCAGTCCCTGGCAAGCGTGTCCAGCTTCTTTGTGTGGTGAGTGTTTATTTGTATCTTAGACTAAGTGCTTTGAAAGTGATGTAACGCGTGTATTGGTGGCGATCATTCTGCGCCGAATGATGAGCGCATGTTAAAGTAATGAGGCGCTTATTAAGATCCATATTGAAGAATATTTTCCTCGACCTCTGGCATCCATCACTTTTTCTATGTTGCTAATTGGCGTGCTCTGAACGTAGGCAGACACACATATTCATGCGAACCAGGAACTCAAGGATGTGAAGCTCTGGCAGGTGTGAAATCCCTTCTTTTTCTAGTTTGATTACGTGATTATGTGTTGAGACACAGGTTTTAGAATAATATGTTTGTTTAAACGGTAGATATTATTTTTAGATAGACACACTTATTATAGGGTCGATACTTTCACGTTGCGTTATCAGGGCTTTGATACGGTTGTCGTGTTTAGGTGCACACTTTGCTGAAGGGACTTGAGAAGATCACAGCTAGTGCAGACATTCCTATGTTGATGGCCGGTGATTTCAACTCTGTTCCTGGCAGGTAGCAGCTTCAAACTATTTTTACAGTTCTTCATGGTTGCAGTATTTACCCGTGAGAATGACTTATATTGATTTGACTCTTGATGTATTGGAATGCTGTTGCAGTGCACCTCACTGTCTGTTGTCAACAGGCCATGTTGATCCTTCCCATCCTGACCTGCAAGTTGATCCACTGAATATTTTGCGGCCTGCTAGCAAACTGTGTCATTCTCTACCACTGGTAGGTATCATCCCTTGGCAATGGTTTTACTCTTGTGAACCATAATTGTCACGAAGGTCCTATGAGTGTGCTTTAGCAAGTCTAGTAAGAGTGGATAAAGCTGTTCTGGTGTTTTGCAGCTTCATTGGCTGCTTAGATGTGGCAGTGAATTTCTATGGTATTGTGGAAATTGTACAGGTGAGTGCTTACGAATCTTTTGCGAGGATGAACGGAATCGATCCTACTGTAGAGAAGCAGAGGCGCCGGATGGATCTAACCACGAGCGAACCACAATTTACGAACTGTACTCGAGATTTCCTGGGCACTCTTGATTACATCTTTTATACTGGTGAGATAATCTTGTTTCTTTCACATACACGGTAGGAATTATCGTTGCGTTGACAAGAGCAAACACCATTTTTTGATTATCGAGGACATAATTACGACTTGTCTTATGCATAGATGATATTGTATAGCGGATGAACGCATCCATTCCTTTAACAGTCTGTGGAAGTCATGTCTTCAAGAAGAATTAGATCGCTATAATTTGACACTCTGGAAGTTTGTGCTTGACAGTGGATTCACTGACTGTGGAGTCACTTCTGGAGCTGCTTGATGAGGACACTCTTCGGAAGGATACTGCGTTGCCTTCTCCGGAATGGTCATCAGACCACATTGCCTTATTGGTTGAGTTCCGCTGCAAGCCTCGCATGCGTCGTTAGACCAGCCTGTGCAAGATTTGGGCACAATTCAACTCGTCGCAGTTCACACAATGTTTGAAATTGCTTGCGTAAGTGACTTGCAGGTTCTTCCACCATTTCCCATGCGTGGGATCCTCAGTCCTGTTGCAGAAACAAGGGACAGTGAATGTGTTTGTGTATTCTTTGTAACTTACATGCTCGCTTTGACAAAGAAAATGCGGTCCAAATTATATTAGACGTGCAGAAACAGTTGTTTCAGCCCCCAATCGAATAGTCTGCCTTTTTTTTTTATTCTTCTTTCTTTTTTGAGATTTGTAATTTTGGCGACGTTCGATTTTAAGATACGTGGACACTTCAGCAAACTGCAATACAAGAACTGCGGTTCACGTAAATTCAGCAGCACATCTGTACATTTTAAAACGCGAATGTGGATTTTCTCACTTGCCGCAATCTGATGGCTAGATGAGTTGTCTGCCTGCTCAAAAACAAAAGCCCGATTGCACCCACTCTATTCATGTGCCGGTTACATTCATGTGTAGATCTCAATTTGTCCTGTTTATCCCTCTGGGCAGTTGTGCACAATTGTTATCCGACATCACTCCCCGTCTCATTTGAAATCTGTGTTCATGGATCAGTCCTGTTACTTGAACTTCGGAAGAACGTAGAAAAATTCTCATTCTCTTCCCTCAGGTTCATTCGTACTTGCCGTCAGGGGTGGCCCTCGGAGACTTGGTCTCTAAGAGTACGTTTAAATTCATTGTCAACTACCAATCCCACTAGTGTCCCTCAGAATGCCCATTTTCTGCATAAAAAAGCGCGTTTGCCTTCTGAGACCGAAACTTTGTTACCCTCTTCAGTTGATGTATGATTTTTCAGTCATGCTCAACCGCAGAAAGAAATTATCCTCAAAGCATGTGACAGAACTTCGGCACCAACTGATGTTTCCTGTTTCTATTGTTTTTCAAGAAAAAAACAGAATCAAGAACAAATGAATAATAAAATCTGCTGGAGTGTTTGAAGAGCTCTCAATACTATTCTATCACCCCCTTGCAAAGAAAAATAAAGAGATAGTGCGGACAGTTCCAACCAACAACAGAGAGACAGTTTAGATTTCCAGACAAAATTGCGCACCAGAAGACTTCCAGAACATTGTAAACCACTGTTATCGAAAATGGGTCGTATAAATCGGAATAATTGACACATGCAAAATTTTCTGTTTTAATCATTTACATATTGGGGCATATACAAATAACACTAAAAAAACTTATCGCAGCTTCATAGCATTTGTTGCTTCATTCCCAACATTGTTAGCTTTTATCACGATTGATTCAATGAGAATGAAACATCAACAAACAAATCATTTGGAAAATACAATTTCATATTGATCTTATTTTGTGTACAAATTGACATCGGACAATTAAAACAACGCATATTCTGCCATACTCACTGTTACAATGCAATCTCATGAAGATAATAACGTGCTCCTCCCTTGAATTCCTCAAGACATTCCTTGAAACCCTCTTCTACACACATGCGGCTACTGCTTCAATAGCGAACACAACTGCCTGAAGAAAAAATCCCCCCATGAGGAAAAAAGCCGAGCTACTTCAGCTGTGAGTCAGCCGCAACATGAGAGAAATAACATGCCAACTAATCAAAAAATCGTTGAAAACATGTCGCCAACATCCTTTTGTTTACTAATAATCTATAACTGTTACTTCGAAAGTAGACGTAAACCGTGCCTGTGAATTTGTCGCAAGGTCTTAAAACACTATACACCAGCTTTTCATCCCCGAGTCTGAATTCAGATCTTTATGTACACTTCGTTGATTGTCTGAATAATCGTTTGCAGATAACGTACTGGAGAGACTGTTGCGCGAAACCAAGTTTGGGTTTCGAATGCGACAGAAGCCTCACTCGTCCCCGGCAGGCTTGCTGACCTTGGACATGTCATATCCAACATCTTGCAGGCCTTCCTGACCATCTCCCTTGTTGTCAAACTCTTCGAGAGAACTGTCGGCTGCCTGGTTGTCACCCTTCACTCCATAGCTGTTAGAGTCAGCATGCACAGCAGGAGGCGCAGAGTCCCCATTCAAATCACCCGTCGAGGTGCTCTCCTCTGCAACACCTCTGCTGCTGGACGACCATCTCCAGGAAACACTTCCAATCCTGGAGAGCACCTCCTTCTGCTTCTGCCACAAGAATTTCGTCGACGTCTGCCGCGAGTAGTACACGGACCGCATCAGCTGTTGTCCTCCAGACACGATGTTGAACAGCCTCTTGGTCGTAACTTGAGAAGCCACCTCGGTTATCGCCATGGCTAAATTCCTAAATCCTTCACAATATCCGCACAAAAACTCCAAAAACTCACCACAAACTCTGCAAAAAATTGCTGTAGAGACCGCCAAACCAAATCGTGCACAATGAACTTAGCCCTACGATCGACTTTTCAGCACAGCCACCGCTGAAGCCATGAACAACACAACCCCCAAATCATAACCGTGTAGGAGCGCAACCCCGAACAAATATCATCTTCCATGGGCACTCTCTCACTCACTCACTCCAGTCCTCCTCCGTCTGGATATAGACCCTGCCTGCCACATGGCATCCCACCCCTACGCCTTCCCTGCTCCCATCCACGTGGCCTACCAACCCACCTTGACTCGGTGGGCTTGGGGCAGTGCCGCGTGAGCTGGAACAGCTGACGTGGACGACAAGCCGACGGAACGAGATGGGGGGTTAAGTGAGCTTCATTAATTAGGACTTTTAATGTAGTTTAACTTTCTGCCTCTGAGGTTTTTATTTTTGTTTTTGTTTTTTTTGACACAAATAAAGAAGATCCTTTCTACAGGAAAAGATAAACATAGGTTACAAATGTACAAGCCAGGTCCGACCAGTACTGGACTGACTTACGTCCTATTATGTGACTTGACCCATTAGTCTAGGACTAAGCAGCATCTATTTGGGTGCGTCCGCATCCCATGTTGCAATGACCTCATTTACACACCATTGTAGCTGGAATTTCTCCAGTAGAGTCTCAGTCTTATCAGGTTCCTTCTTGATCTTGGCTTGAATCAAGGCCCATGCAATCCTTTCAGAATCAACCACATCTTATTGAAGATCTTTTCCTTTTGCCAATCTCTCCCATTAAAATCGGTGTCGTTGCGTTCCAACCAGAGGTTCTAGATAACTATCTCCCTCAGCAGTAACCATTGTCTACTTTTCTATATCGTGGGATCCTATGTGCAAATATCCCATGCTTCCACGAAATATTCAGAGATCGATTACTGTTATCTTATATACCACTGCCTAGTGGAGGTTGATCCCCCCTTCTCACCCGATTACAACTGCAGTTGCTACTGGTTCCGTTTCCTTGTATACCTCCCGCAATTGCCACATTAGATACAAAGAAGCACGGGGATCCATTGTTTCTAATAAATGTCTCTATGCTGGACCATGTGCAGCAGAAGCATCCTTCCACCCTCAGAAGCGTCGCTTGCAGGGACACTCGTACGCACTAGACCTCACATGCACTTCCAACTTGGGTTTATTACGAAACGACTGAATCGGTTTCACCTTAAAAGCTCCGTTTGCCTCGCTTCTGTTGGTGGCGCTGGGACTTTCCATCATAGTATTGAAATAATCGCACTTGGAGTAAATTGATCTCATTTGAAGGAGGCTTCAATCTGTTCTAGCGTCCGACCACGAGTTTCTGGTACATACAGAGCAACGAACACCATTGTGCCCACACACTCGGCAGCAAATATCCAGAACGATCCTGGGCATTCAAGGTATTCCAGGCATAAGTTCTATATTTTCGGCCATTTCACAAAGACAAGGAGAAAAAATCCATTCTAAAATTCATCTTTACGTTACTCTGAAAAGAGGTGTGATTTTCAGTATCCGGGAAAGTTTCTTGATACCGTTGGTACCTGTTGAGCTCCACAGAAGCATGGAGTTGAAAATCAGGGTGACGGCAGACGAGCAAAACCAGTTGACCAGAGTTGCCACGCTTCCAGCTGTTCCCTTCACGTGTGCAGGGAAAATCTGTACGTTCAACATTCACGAATGTTAAGAAACAAGGGACTGAAGACAGGAGAATTCCATGCCTTTGTAGGAAACAGTTTATAATTTCTAGGCATTTCTGAGACATCAAGACTCACCTCAGACATGATAATCCACGGAATAGCACCGACTCCCAAGGAAAATGCTGCAATATAAACCTTCGCACACAGCAAGCTTTAATAAATCAATTTGACAAACAAACTCAGAAGAATGGTTTTGAAACTTCTTCCAGTGGAACATCAACAAGCGGACCCGTGATCAAAGTCAACAGCTTATGTTACAAACCAAAAGTTATGTACTGGAGGAACAGCATGGATGTAGAACACTCACCAGAAGGCTAACAAGAGCCAGATAACCAATAAAGGTGGCCAATTCCAATGACATCTCCGGTTGCAAAGCCTTCAGCAGATGGTCACATCCATTTCAGAACACACAACCAATCTATGCGAGGTTTGAAAAGCACGGAAATAATGAAATATGAAACGATAAAAGACGACAAGGTCAATTCATCTACAAATCAAGGGAGAAGTTTCGGAAACATAATTCAGACCCGTAAATAGAAGGAGAAACCCACGAGAAAGCTGCTGAGAGCCATGCCTCCTGCAGAAACCTATGAACAAACGCACCCATTCAAGTTTCAGTGTTGAAAGTACAAAACCCTTCTCAAGTGGAGCTCTCAAGGTTTTGATATGCAGGGTAATCACGGTAATTTTTCATATTAGCGAATCATGTAGTGACCATCGGAAGCTGGAACTCTATTTTTACTCATGTCAGATTACCATGAGCAAAAGGCGCCGTCCTGCTTTGTCTATCAGTCCAGCTGCAGCAAGTGTCATGACAACCTGCAAAAAGAAGCAGAAAAGCAACATCAAACAACTAGCCTTTACCCATGTCCAGGATGACCACATTTTGTAGAATTAGAATGCATCCTACGAGCCAAAGCAGGATATCATCTAGAGGGGTTGTCATTGACCTGTAGAATACCCAGAGCAACAGTAGCTACACCTGGATTCTGGACACCTGTACCACATTGAAGCTATAGTCAGACTTTTGAACTTAAGGATATCGTATAGTGCAAATGTCAGAAATTATTTTTACTCAGTTTTGAAATACTAAACGGTTATTATCCTAAAGCATCAGGCTACAATGAAAAATTATATTCTAAGGTAAAAGCAGATGATACCATCACAAAAACTGAGCGATCAATGGAGATTCCTTTCTGCTTCCACTCCCAAATTTTCACACAAGAAATCACGATGAATCAATCTACGAAAATGTACACCAAGATCTCCAGGATTCAACATACCAGCTGTGGTAAAGATGAAGCTGGAGTACAACATGACCGCATTGATGCCAGAAAATTGTTGAAGCACCATTAAACCTACTCCAACCTTCAACCAAAAGATGTGTTGTTCAATACAAACTAATCGCGAGAATGTGAAAAGTTAAGAATCGCCGTAAGGACAGTGAACGATGCGGTCAGTGAATCGAAATCTAAAACTGATCGAAACACAGAACTTACAATAAGTGTCTGAATGAGTTTCCGCTGCTTCAGATCGCTCCACTTAACGCTGGGCAAAGCATTTGAGGCTTCCGTGGCCGCCTGCATACGCAAGAAAAAGCACATGCGATTATTTTAGTAAAATTTACAATGATATGAAAGCAGCATACATGGATGTTATTTGCAAAAACATACCTGAATGTCTTGAATTTCATCAGAAACGTTGAATTCTTTTCCTCGGAGCCATTGCAGACAAACTTGGAGCTCCTCTTTTCTGTCCGCTTTAGCCTGCCCATACAGATAGACTGCTTGAGTCGCACAATATTCTGACTTAGATTTTGTGTTCAGCAAACAAAATTCAGCTCAATATGCAAAAACAAAGAAACCAAAAAAAAACAAAATTTAACGATGTTCCAAATCCAGCATACAGATGAGAGTCATACGAGCCAGCGAGGACTTTCTGGGATAAATAGGAGTCCAACAACAAGTAAAACCCCAGGTATGCCACCTGTCCAAATCATCCAAAGCAAGGCTTAACCTATCAGCAACACATAACAAGTTTTTGACTGCTTCAGAAACTATAATCTACATTAATATTCGACCTCGAAAGAACTTTCAGATTTCATATCCAATATTTATTCACAGTACTTCAGTGAGACTGATTCCACAGGCACTTGCCCTCTGACAGGAAATAGGGTATAATTGGACGACATACCCAGTAATGCAAGGGTACGCCAGTGGAAGTACATGCCAACGATGTAGGAAAGGGTGACGCCGATTGTAATAGCAAGCTGGTCATTGTTTCAGCGGAACAAAAAGAGATAAGGATGCAATCAGACCCCCTTGCGACGGTGCGCGATTAATGCGGCAAGTCAAGTCTCAAGATATCACATAAGCCCAATCACCACGAAAGTTTATGACCGCTTGAAACAAAATAAATCTATCATGATAACATGGTTCAAGCACTCATTATCAATACTGTAAGCGAGCAGTTAATTTACGCTAGGGAGTAAAATTGAGAAGTGCAGGAAATCAGCACCTGGTTCATAGTTCCTAGAGTTCCCCTCAAATGTTTTGGTGAAATCTCTCCTATATACATCGGTACCTGAAAAGAGAAGTGACCATAACGGAACGAGAACATGAGTGCTTCGGAGTAAATTACCATGCACGTCCTGCTAAAGGTGAAGCTGGTGTATGTTTATTTGCAAAGCCAGTACCATCACTCAGGTTACAAAATTTAAAGAAAATTACGAGAAAAAAAACAGATGCTTGAGGTTAGTGGACATTACAGTAAAAGAGATAATGCCTCCTCCAAAGCCAACAAGGGTCCTTGCAATGATCAAAGGAGTTGCAGCCTGCAAAAAGATAAATTGTGGATGTCAAGGTCTATAGAGCGGCCTTTCAAGAGATATTAAGATTCTTGACAATGTTTACCACGTGTAATGCCCATGATGAATTGTAAATTTCAGAACTGCTACTCGCCTTGCACAACACAATGAGACTCCACCCTGCTAGCACGGGAATGACAGCCACTGACAATGCCTGTTGATTCAGCACAAGCACCAACGTTGTCAGTCAATCTCAAATATCATATGCGAGATGACATGACTTGCCAGCGACTCATTTTTATCGAAAAGCAAACAAACCTCCAACCAGGCAAACTACTGCAGCCAAGACTTACTGGTTTCCGCCCGAAGTAATCCGCCAATCGACCGCTCACAATTGCACCAAGCATACACCCCACACTTAGAATGGACCCGAACGTCGAGAACTGGGCAATTGTCAAATTCAGATCCCTGATGATTGCAGCTTGAGTTGGGGAAGTAAAACCGAGCTGTGAAATTTCGCAAGGCAACAGAAGTTTGACCAGTCAAGTCCCGATCAATTCAGGCATAAAGGGACACCCACGCATACAGACACAAAGTGTCTGACTTCCAAAAATTATTGGTCTACTGAACATAACTGGTGGGAAATTTCAGCCTTTTCACAGTTTCTGCGAAATCATGAAAGAGCTAACTTACCGCAAATCCCAGAGACAGGGGACCAAGTGCCACTATGAGAGTAGAACAAATAGCATGTGCAGGGTTCGGCAAGACTACGTCCTTCCTTGATCTCAAAAAATGTCTTCGGTCATGGGAATGCTTTGGTTTGCTTGATCCTTCACTCAACAGCGGTTTCTTCAGATCAATACTCCCGCCTCCATCCGCAAAATTGTTCTCGCCACTCTCCATCGAATACAATTTATCCTTCGCCATGGTTTCCACCTCCTCTGTTCGCCCCACATTCAGGCCACACAACATGATCAATCACCATAACTCTCAACAAGTGAGAGCGCTGGCATGCTCAGTCCACTCTCTCTACTTCTGTCAGAGCTTCTTCCAAGCATTGCAATGAAGAATGGCAATCTATTCTCAATAAAAGGAAAGACAGAGAATAGGACAGTTAAACAGCAAGGCTGGAAAAGGCGTTGCACATTGAGCTGCACAGAACTAAGAAACATCCTTCCACGCTGAAGCACTCAGCTACACAGCCACACCATTGACAAACGGAGCGACCAAGACCTTCGAAAAGCGAGAACCCACCTCGCAAAGTCCGTTGCCCGAACACCACAGCCCAAAACGCACTCATGCAAGAACTGATTAGCGGCCAGAAGGGAGGCCAGATGCAAGAGCCCGCGAAGCAACAGTCAAGAGGAATGCCGCACTAGTGAGTCCAGAGAAACGGCCTGAATGTGTCCAGGCACAGACGATCGACAATGACCAGTAGGACAACCTCAGTGCAGAGTGGCAAGCTGGCTGGAGGCAGTCCAAAGACGAAAGAGAATCAAAGACCCACGGGTGGTGCATGCTGCGTGACCAAAGAAGAAGAGCGGAGGAAGATACTTGGCTAAAGTCCAGGTGATGGGGGCGGAGACACCAAGAGGGACCGCAGCTGGGATTGAAGCAGCAGCGGAAGAAACGACAAAAATGGGAGCGGGGAAGGGGCACAAGACGGGAGGCGCAGAAAGGCCCGGCACCCACTGGCGACGCAGACCGGAGGAGCCCATCGCCACCCCCCCCTCGCCTAGGCTTGGCCGTCTCTGCTCTCTCTGCTCTGCTTCTGCTTGAGGGGGGGGGGCAAAGGAAGAAGCGCGCTTTGCAGCAGCGCATCCACCCCCCACTACTCCCCCCACCCAGGCTTGGCTAGGCTTGGCTTACTTGGCATCCTCCTCCAGCTCTGCATTCCCCTCCAACCCCGTCCAACTGTTCGGCTCTTCTTCTTCCGATCCCTCCCTTCCCTCTCTCCCTGCCTTCTTCATCCATGGCCGCTGTCTGACATGGCATTGCCAGCTCTCTCTCTCTCTCCCATCCATCCATCCATCCAGCCATGTGTCTGTGTGTGTCCCTTCCATCAGTTTACGGTGCCATTCTCTAGAAGCCTAAGCACCACAAATTCACTCCCTCTTTCCTTTCTGATATATATATATATATATATATATATATCAAATATTCAAACACTATACATAAGAGAGTGCCATGGTATGTTGAAAATTAAGTTAATATTTAATTAATGGAGTACTTGACACTAATTGAACTGGTGAAAAATATAGAATTTGTTTTGTGACTTTTAGTGATAAATTCATACTTTAAGATTTTATTTTTATTTTACCTTTTAGGTTGATTATTTAACTAGGTGAAAGAGTTTTTTTTTTTTTTTTTTTTTTTTTGTGATCTAAAGAGGAAAAAATTATCAATATTCTACATAAATCGTACATCAAATCAATGCTCTTTGTCTCAATGTAGTAGACATATATTTCATATTTTTAAAATTATAATAAGATGCGATCAAATAAAAAAGTATAATAATTACGTGATTAAAAATTTGAATAAGAGAAACATAATCAAGTGCTTCTGAGATTGTAATTTACTACAAATAAAAATATAAAAATAAATCAAAAGATGTAGATTAATAATATATGTATATATATTTATAGAACGAAAATCATTCCAATAATTTGAACGCATATGTATAGAAACAGAGTAGGTCTTGGAAAGATGCAATTCCAACATAGGCTTTACTTCTGCTGCTTCTGGTGCCAAGGACCAAGAAGATAATGGAAATGGCCTTAACGAGCACTAAGAGCTGCTTCGCTTCAGGACTGAGTACTAATTTGCAGTGCAATTCTCCATTTCTGCTCTTCCTCCGTTCTGATGCGAATAGAGCAACACTTCTTTCAGCTCTAGAAAACAGACTGCGAGTCCATGAATTGTTTTAAAAATCTGCTGGGAAGCCGAATAGGTTGTGCTGTTTGACTGACATTGCTGATCCTATCAGAGCCTAGTTTCCAACTCAGCTCCAATCTGCACTACAAGTTGAACTCTGCAGAAGGAAGACTATGCATGAGTAGGATGGACATCCTGCCCCTATCTCGCCCCCGAGTCAATCCACATGCCTTCTTTCTAGCGACTAGAAACCTTTGAATAGTCAAAAATGTTGTGTCATGATTATATATAAAGTGGAACAACTCCAGTTGAGTTGCATTGAAAATGCCGGCACTCACCTGGTTCAAGCCTAGCTCTCCTATAGACATCGAGATGCTGCCTTCCCACATCAAGTAAACTAACCTACATAGTGCAGAAAGACAATGCATCACCTGAATATAGAGCAATGCTTCTAGTTTACGTTCATTCCTCCTCTTCCGACCAATCAATCCTTGTTTTCTGAAGCAGATCAATATCTTTTAAAAAATTCTACAATGTCACCCTGTACATACAAAATGATCAAGCTTGGAGAAACAGGCATTCCACCCTGATCTTGTTCATTGTCATGGTGAATTTGCCCAGCTCAGAGTTTGTGGCCGTTCGCAGCGCCATCCTCAAGCTTGCTGGTCTTCATGGCCTCCATGGGGATGCCATTAGGATGCGCGAGAGTGTCGGGATGGGGGACGTAATTCTTCCAGAACCAGTGCCGAGTCCAGACGAGGTCCATCTCCTCGATGGGAATGCCCTTGGTCTCGGGGATGAAAAAATATGTGAACAGGAACATGACCACCACCCAAGCAGCGAAGAAGAGGAAGATGCCCCACTTGAATGTGCACAGCATTGACAGGAACACTTGGGCGATGAGGAAGGTGAAGACCATGTTCGTCGACACCGTGATTGCCTGTCCTGCGGATCGGGTCTCCAAGGGGAAGATCTCACTGGGAATCAACCATCCCAAGGGGCCCCAGGACCAAGCGAAGGAGGATACATACACACAGATCAACGCCACAGCAATCCATCCCAGGTAGGTTGGCATGTAATTGCCATCCAATCCTAACGCAAGAATGATCGCAATCGCCGTCTGTGCAAAACCACAAATAAAATTTCAGTTGCATATGGTTGCGAAAGGCATTAGATATGATGGAGCTCCTCTGCAGAAGTCTAGAAATCGAGGAGGTGTTACCATAGAGTAGAAAGGGTGATGTACCTGTGCGACGAACATTTGGATGCAGGCCTCGAGTAGCAACCAGCGCCGACCGATGCGATCTACAAGAGTGATGGCAACGCAAGTGGCTAGTACATTCACGGCACCGACGATGACAGCGGAGTAAAGAGAAGCGGAGCTTGCGAATCCCAAGGTTTGAAACAAAACAGGAGCGTAGAACATGATTGCATTGATTCCAGTGAACTGCTGGAAGAATTGGAGGATCATGGATATGACAAGCTGTGGACGATTGCGGCGTTTCAGAATGTTGCGGAAAGGATGTTTCACGGCGGCAGCTTCGTTACTGGCAATCAGAATGTCGTCGAACTCTTCTTCTACGTTTTCAATGCCTCGAATTTTGCGAAGAACCTGGCGGGCTCTTTCATGCTTGCCACGCTGCACGAGAGAGTTGGGAGTGTCGGGCAGAAGGATTCCTCCGAGGGTGATAAAGATGGCAGGCAGGCCGGCGATAGCGAGGGAGACACGCCATCCATTGCGGGCCATCTTTTCCGTGCCGTAGTTCACGAGATTTGCGAAGAGGATGCCGATGGTCACCGCCAACTGGAAAAGGATATTAAGCGCCCCTCGCCACTTTGAGGGCGCCATCTCCGAAAGGTACAACGGAACAGCCTGTGTTCAGACAAACGAAAAGCAGACAAATGATTTTAGAACGATCACGAGAATAACTTTTTTTAAAAAAGAATTTCAATTTTTTTCAAAAAGCGAAGCTGCTGGTTACGTTGGAGAAGGTCGAGGTCTATTACCTGGTTAGCAAATCCGACACCCCAGCCGAGCAGGACGCGCCCGATGATGAGCATGATGATTTCGGCGGCAGCGGCTGTGAAGATGACGCCCAGGCAAAAGGCAATACCGGCTATGAGCATGGTGGCCTTGCGACCGTAATGCATAGTGGTGTAAGACGAGAAGAAGGTCGATACGAGCGCAGCGATGTACAGCGACGACGTAAATGCTTGTAGCTTCTGGTCATCATACTTGCAGTATGCGCTCTCCGTTGCTGCCGCGGCCCTCTTCTTCTCAAGCACCGCCGGGAAAAACTTAGCCAGAAATTCATCCATGGACGTGACACCACCTGCCAAGAAAAACAGTGACTACCCACGTCAACGGACTCGACAGTTTACCCTCAAAGAAGTGAATTAACAGTAGACAACAGGTTCTCCGCAATCAGGACTGCTGGACCTGGATACCTGAAACCATCTCCGTCAGCTCAGAACAAATACAAGCTCCACTCAGGTAAACACTAACCAAGACTGTCATCATTGTAACTGATGGGCGTTGCATACAGCAGTAAAGCACTTGGCTACTGCAAATTCAAACAAGCTGCTCCAGGCCAATTCTGTTTGTCATCCAAGAGCTAAATTCTACAAATTCACGATTTCCAAGTGCATCTGGACTGATGAGAGAGCTGCTACGTAAGTGTTACCTGAAATTCCGACATCGTATCCGAACATAAGACCTCCTGATGCCGCCACTATACAGACCATGATCACGAAGAAAGTTGTGCGGCCTGGGTAGTGCTTGATATCCCCCGCCATCACAACTCCTCCCCCAGCCATCTTGGCTTCCCTTCAGATCTACCTCCTGCTTCGCAACCAATCTAACTGCCTTCTTCAGCTCTACGAAATTCTTCCGAGCAAATTCCGTCTTGAATAAAATCCTCCTCCACCGAAATTACAATGGTTACGATGCAGAAAAAGGCAAACGTGAATTCGCTGATCAAGCAACTTCTACGACGAAACATGCAGCGCTCTCCTTCTCTCCATAAAGGGATGATGAACAAGTGGGTAACAATTGAAGGATCAGTGTCCAAAACTCAAGGTGGCGGCGACGACTGCTGCTGCTAAGAGCTTTAATTTTTTGCGAACAGGATTCACAGCTGAAGTGAAGCAGGCTCCCCTCGCAACGGTGCTGCTGCTGCTGCAGGTTGGAAGAGGAGAGGGAGGAGTGAGGAGTGAGGACGATGGATGCAGTGAAGCGTTGAAAGGGCTACTGACAACATCTGCTGCAATCGCACAAGCGCTGGATGGCGAGAGTCCGACTGGGAGGATAGGTAATATAATCCGGGTGAAGCCTGCCATCCTCTTTATACCCTCCCCGTCCCACCCCCACCCCAGGAGCTTGCCTTGGAAAAAGAAAACTCTTCCTCTGATCTGAATGCCCACATGATCAGGCTCTGGCTCTGGGCTTCACCCCCCCCCCCCCAACCCCCCTCCTTTCATTGGATGTTGCTTCCCCTCTCCAAAGAATGGTCTGTTTTCCCCATATGAGCTTGCGTGTCATTTCACCATGGCCTTGTCCAGCAGTCCCAAAGTCAATGCATTTATTCTGCTTTGGAGTTGCATGATGGCATTCCTTTGGGTGCCCATGTTGCACATATGTACCCTGGTACATTCATTCCTCCAAAGTGAAGAATGGCATGTATATTTGGACTGAAGAGGAGGAGGAGCCTGCCTGCCTGCCTGCCTGTCTGCCTGTGCCCACACCCCCACTCTCTCTTTCATCCCCATCTTTCAACAACACACATCCTTTCAAGGTTGCCTTTGGCATTCTGGGGCTTGGTGGGCTGTGTCTATAAATTTGCATCATCACTGCCCCTCCCTGCTTGTAATTCATTTCAAGTTACAGAAGAATCTTGTGATCCTCTTCCTTTTCAACACATTTAGCTTCCAGAAAGGCTTTCAGTGGGCCCATCATTTTACAGCAGCCTGTCCCCATTCTTTCAAGTAGAGTCCAACATTTTCCTCCACTTGATTTGTATGTGTGTATTCTGACACATATGGGCTTTTGAAAGAATGAGAGAAAGCATTGGGGGAGGAAGGAGAGAGAAGATTTTGTTTTCATATAAGGTAATTGGGTAAGAAAGTAATAATTTCTGCAAACTCAGAAAATTTATCTAGAAATCAAGCATTCTTCATTTTGTAACCAACTACTTGTTGGAATTAGGTTGGTCTATAAGTTGGATTTGGGTTAACAATAATCTTCAGCTAAAACATTGATATAAATTATATTTTTGGGCAAAATTGTGTGAGAATACCTAAAATTCTTTTGATTTCTATTATCCTACATGAGGATATATATATTTTTTTTTTCATACACTTATGCAAGATATGCTAAAATACTTCAGGTATCAGAAATGGGTCAGCTACCTTAAAGGCTACAATAAGCTGTCTTAGGAACATACCCTGTGTATGTGAGTGAGTTGGTCTTGTAACCAACAGAAGGGGTCCCTATGGGTAGCAACAATGAAACTGTGAGATACTGATCATTGTACAGGCCTACAAATGAAGTATGCTTGTAGAGTCGCTTCCTCTCACGTTCTCAGAGGCATTAACCAATGCTTTAACAAGAAATATTGGACAGAGGTGGTGTGTGTCATACTCCTTGAACAAGTACACATTCCCCTTTGTTGAACTGACCCATTTTTTTTTATTCATTTTAAACTAAAATATCTTACACTTTTATGACTGTACAGAATGTGTTGCTGTTGGATTTCACTAGATGAGTCCCAATCTATCTATCTATCTATATGTCAATGTATTTACATGTAATGTAGATAATCGTGTGTGTGTTTGTTTATTTTAGATAGAATTTCTCATCAAAATGTATACTGAATTACTATTATAATTATTGTGGGAAAACATCCTATTGCTTATTTCCTCATTCCATTTTTAACCCTTTTCATGTGAGAATTGATTTTTAAAAGAACAGATTGCTGCTGTGAGAGAGTGGTAGCCTTAACCTGAAAGTGTGGCTGCTGATTGGAAGAGAGAGAGAGAGAGAGGGTGGAACATAATAGGAAGGTAAGGGTGGAGCATTGCTGCAATGGATACTAGCCCAGAATGTAAGGAGCCCTGATGCCAAGTAGAATGTGGTTGGAATCATAGCACCTTCCTTCCTTCCCACCCTCCTTCTTTTCTTCAGTCTCCTCTGATGTTGCTTAGATTCATTTAATAGTTACTATGTAGAGAGAATTAGCCATGTTGTAATTGGTGCCAGAATCAATTCATCAGGATCAGAATGACTCATGTTCCAAATAGCACAAAGATGTGCTCATCTCATTACCACCTCACATGACAAGAGAGACTCAAAGGTTGGTCAAAAAGTAATAATTTGGAAATCTTTCACACTCTTGGCAGCCTCTTTGATAAATCCCCCAACCACCAACAATGGTGATGTCAGGATCAGGTTGGGTTGTGTTTGGCAGAAGAATGCCCAACCCCTGCCCTATGAAACTTCAAAATACAACACACACTCTTCCTCTTATCTCTGCATCTTCTACTTCTTCTCCACTTTGGGATTAGAGGGGGTACCATGAGGTTGCTACTTAGAAAGTCCACTTACATGGAAATGTCACCTTCAGTGGTCATTATAATGCCAAAAGGTTACAAGCAGTGATGTCTGTGCTGGTCTACTCCCTCAATCTCCAGCCATTATTTGTGTGCATCAAGATTCCAATGTTGCATGCATGGTCGTTTTATTGCACCCCATTTGAAAAAAATGTAAAAAAATATTGTAGAAGGATAAATGAAACCACTCATGGTAGCTAAGATACTGATTGCAAACAAAACCCCTCACCAGTGTGGCCCATCATCATTATTGCTGTAGTTAATTGTTACTCAATTTTTAAGAGATCACAAGCAGAACCCTATCCAATACATTAATGATGTGGCAACTCACTGTCTATCTTTCCATTCCTATCCAGTCTGTAAATGCTGTGAGGTTTTGCCTTCTTTCCAAGAAGTGACAGGGCACACCATTGAACCCTCACTTCACAGCTGCTGCTAGCTACCATTTCTCCACAACACAGGTGCCCAAGGGCCAATGCTTGGTTTGAGGCAGATGAATGCACATTGCAACACAGGGCTTCACCACTTCTACAGCCCAGGTGTGATGTGGGCAAAGGGGGGCAGAAGCAGAGAGGTAAGTAAGCACTGGATGCTTGGAGTGGACAACCAAGGTGGCCTACTATATGTGAGGGCAGCTTCATCAGTCCATTGCTGCCCAGAGCTGGGAAATGGAGTAGGCAGAGAGAGGGAGATGGAGATGGCCCATTGCTGTGATGCACACTTACAGACAGACAGATAATGCGGGGCTGGGGGAGGGAGAGCCATTTTTTGAGCTCATCACAGCCTTCTTTCAGCCTCCAGATTTTGCAACTCTAGTGTTTGCATCTATTAGTGACACTTCCCCTGGGATGTAACCAGCCCCTCCAATTGGTCATCAGTATTTCCTCTGTCTTCAAGGCTACCCTAGTGGGCAATTCAGAACCCATGATTCTATTGTGTCTTTGAAATGTATGCTTCCCCAAGCTTTAAATAAAACCCAATTAACATTTGAATTTTCTCATGTGCTGCACAAACAATTCTATGCACCTGTTAAACATGATCCATTTGGAACCCTGAGAGAGAACAAGTTTCCATGCATGAGGGAGGGAAGCAACTTGTTGATGGGGTCAAATTTATCTCTCTAGCCCCAGCAGCCAACCATTCCACTGGGAAGAACCAGAGGTGACACCTGATGTGCACAATTCACTTGTGTGAGTGGTGGTGATGGTGGGTCCACCATTTGAGGGTGTCATGGGAAAGTTGTGATTGAAGTTGAAGTTTTGGCTTTCAAGGGAGCAAAGGTTTTTTTGTAAAATATATGCTACTATTATAGTTTGTTATTTATTATCAAGATCTGCATGTACCTCTCAGGATGCATTCTGGATGGGAGCAGTGTGAAACCTGCCAACACCACTTGGGTTTCAAACAAATTTGGCAGCCACCTTTTTGCCCCAGTATTGACAGCAGTGGTAGAGGTAAATACAGGAAAGAAACCAACACTTATCTCAGCCATTTCTGAGCATAACAGACCATTGTTGTGTCATGGAACCCATGACCTCCCTTATCCAATGCCCAAGGATAACCTTGAGCATTGGATAACATTCCCATCAGCATTTAGGATATTGATAAGATTATTATCATTGTAATTTTATTTTTAATAAATTAAGTGGGGATTTTATTATTCTTTAAAATCCAGTCTCAAATTTTGAGTACCAAAAAAAAACAAAAAAACAAAACAAAAAAGGGGGGGGAGGAAGGAAGGAAGGACATGGGAGTTATTTTTTATTTTCTTTTCTTTTTCTTTTCTTTCTTATGAGGGGAGTGTATCTGGTTGTTTTTTGAATACAGACTGTGGTCAAAATTTGCAAAACTATCTGTCTCTTGCATGCTGTAGGAATGAAAATGACAGGAATTTCTTTGTTCTTAAAAAGCTCTTTTTGTGCATCACATCTCTCTCTTTCTTTTATCATCTTCTTTAGTCCTTCTTCTCCTTTTATTTCTTTTCCTATCTTCTTTTACTCTTGAAGACACATCACACTTTTCTTTTTAAAATCTTCTTTCAACCAAACAAGGCTTTTCAGAGTGCATAGTCATGGTCAATATTGATGTGTATGAAAGAGGTTGAGAGTGTTGTTGACTGAAACTAAATCTATGAACATCTGTCACCCTATTCCTGTCTGCATGCCAACCATCCATCCCTCCCTCCCTTTCATTTTCCTTTCCATTTTCCTCATTTTTTGATTGGTATGAGAGTTTCTTCTTAAGTTCACATGTGCATATATCTCCCTTGTCCTGAGCTGCCCTGTTGGGCCCAATCACTGTGCAGTCTTGTCCCAAAGTCGGCCACCATTTCTGCCATTGTGCCACCCTCTCAAACAAGTGTAAACAGACACATAGATTTGAGGTTTGTCACTGCAAATAGCCACTACTTCACTGTGAGTAGGCTTCATTACCCTACCCACCTTTTCCACAGGACTTGCAGGTATCCTGCACACATCCATGATTGGTGGGCATTCCTGGAGTGGCCCATTCTTGGGGAGTGCTGCCATCTTCTACCCATTCATGAATTGCTCATCCCCCACCCCCCTTCATGTGTCATTCCTCAGCTTCATCCTTTACATTACCAAGATCCCTTTTGTGCTTCACTTGATGCTTTCATCTCTGTATATCTGCTTGTATGCTTTTGGTAATGTCTTCTACTACTCAACCACCAACTTGTGTCAATGCAAGAGCTTTAGCTCATACAGCCTGCAGCAAACTTCATCAAGCAAGCTTTGGTATTTTAGGAATGAAGCTTGAAGGACAGCAATTATAGGTGGATGGGAGATGAGCATTCAGGGGTTGGCAGAAGCAGGCAGCACTGCCCTGAGAGTAAACAAGTCCCTTGGGGGAATTCCATGAGCAGCCAGGTATTTCCAGGACACCCACAAGCACTAGCAAGGTGGTAAGGCCTGTCCACCTATGGGGTTACATAAGGTGGCAATTGTGGACAGTTAGGGCTGGGAGCACCTGATGTGTGGAATCCAGAATCCCTGTCCCACTGACTCTAACTGAAGGCACACATGTTGAAATTGGCCCACAAGAAAGAAAAAAGAACAAAGAACAAAGAACAAAGGTAAAAGAGACTCTGACTCCCTCCTCTGCCCCCCTCTAAAAAAAAGAAAAAGAAACAAAGTAAACTTGTTTGAACATTTCAAACTCAAATCCAAACATTATTAAGCATATGACAAAAAATGTATCACTTACTGAAGTGACATAGTGAGGGCAAGGAGTGTAGGCTGCATACCTTGATCTCACTCATTTTCTTTATCGATGATGAAAACAAAAAAAAAAAAAAAAAAAAAAAAGAAGAAGAAGAAGAAGAAGAAGAAAAGACATCCCTCTGCAAAGGGGTCCTCCCCATTATGTTAAAAAAATATTTTAAACGTTTTCGAAACAAATCTCAGAAGAACACAAACTCAAAAAGCTGTCATGATGCAGTTTCCAGCTCCCTGTACACAATCACAATTACATCATTGTGTGCCCCTGCTCCCATGATACCCAATATCGTGATTCAGATTGATGAGCCTCATGTGAACTTTTTTGGGAATGTTGAAAAGATATTTAAATGTTCTTCTTGGGACATTATCACTATCATCAACACATTAACACACTTACAATTTTCACTACCTAGGAAGACCATTCATGAATAACCAACTTGCTGAGGATCTAAAACCAGACCTCCCCTGTTTTGAATAGCACCCTCTTCCTTAGCACTAGGAAGTTTAAGATATAGTCTTTGCGTGACTCAACAGCAAGCCTTCACTTTCAGGGTTTGAGGACCTCCCTTCTTGTGAGCCAACCAATATTCTAACCAAAAGAATTCAACATAGATGCATATTGTCAACTCCTGCTGCCACTACTCTACAAAAGTAGTGTGTACCAGCAGATGTGAGTAGGCAGGCAGTTGAGTGATGCTGTAATGCTGTACAAATTGAACAAAGACATTCACTCTGGAGAGTACAACCATAAAATGACGCAATGACTTGCCATCATTTGAATATTCTGGCCACAAACATTATACTATCATTCCTTGAAAAATATGAGACCAGGCTGATTGTATTCATTTACAATCTGAAATATACCATGAAATGCAGTCCCAATAGTAGATTGACTGCACGCCACTGTACACAATCAATCACTCGTGCATTTGCAAATGGTAACATGCCAGCTGTGGCCAGATCTTCAATCACACTCTGCAGGAATCCACTTGGGAATGTGGAACTTGAACTATCAGAGAAGGTCAAAAGGTGTTCAAGGTGTCAAAAGGGCACTTGCACCAACTATATTCAAAAGCAGCTTATCTCACTGCGAGCCGTAAACATTTTCACATCAGTTTCCGAGGAAGATATCAACATGGACTAAGCTAGCCACCTGTTGCCTACAGACAATCATTTCTCAGTGCAGCTCCGTTTTGCAATACACTGGAGACTCCAGAAAACCTGTCTTTGAGCGAAGAAAGATAATTGCTACAGAAAACCTGAGGGTACGAAGTAACTGTCTGGGGCTTGATGTAAACAAACATGCAAGTTATGCTGTTCGCCAAAGGTGGTGAGATGAAGAATAGTCCCCATTGAAAAATGGTACCGCAATCCATTGCTGTGGAAAAAAGAAGACGTGTTACATGGGGATTCATCGTGGAAAGTCACCAAAAGACAAGAGGTCAAGACAAATCCTAGACGTTCCCAAGTTGGATACACTCTCTCCAAATAATACTCAATCGAAGCCGACGCCAAACGCAAATAAACTCATGCACAACGCATGCGAAGGAACGATGGGAGACACATCTTCGACTACTTCTAACATCTTGAGCATTCAAAACACCTCATTACCAGTGGCTGCCGGATCCAGTATAAAATATTGAGAGGTCAGTGACTCAGATAAATATAGCAGAAAACGCAGCGATAAAACCACAAACTCATCCACCAACACAGCCAGAAGTAGAGGTGCTCATTCCTACAAATTAGAAGAGTCAACCGGAACGCAAAACAACTCCTAAATGTACAATCACCGTGATAGGGTCATTTCCCTCAAAGGATGGATATGCTCACATGAACAAAATTTCATAAGTAGGAAAATTGTCACAAGTCTCTTCTGCTTCTCATCCCACACGTATTAATTGCAGCAGGGCCCAAATAGCACGATTGCTAGCGACTACAAACTCGAAATGTGTCCATCGACATGAGCGTCCTGTCACAAGGTAAAAATATTGGCAGGTTTCAACAATACTGACAACTAAACGAAACCCACTCAAAGAAAAGCAAATCTCATGATGTGAGGATAAAGAAAACCATAAAAATCTCACAAGCATTGGGTTACAGGACGACTGATATAGAGAACTACCGATAGATATCCGGGCTTTAGACCGTGACATACTTTCCTTGACGGTAAAGAGGCGTTTGTGAGGAAAGAAGCTGAAAATCGTAGAGAAACCCTAATTGAAGTTGACTGCGAAGAGGAGGGACTACACCGCTTTGGAGAAGCAATACTCGTCAACAAGACGCATACTGAAAAATTAAATAGATGATGAGACAACTAGAAGCAGCTAATTGCAATAAAATATAACAAGGACGCTGCACCCATGACGTCTGCACCCTAGAAATCACCAAAGCACCGCTCACGGAGCAGACGTCGTAGCAACGAAAACGGCCTAAATCACGATAAAGTTCAAGAACCTTAATAACAAATAACGTCCAATTCATGGATAAAAATTTGCACAAAGAATATCAAGTCTAGTTCTATACAGTTTTCACGTCGCGTAGACGTGGAGACCCATACCAGGTTTTCAGTTGACCTAAGCTTTTTCCCTCCTAAGCTTTCCGAGCTCCCGACGCACAATGCAGCTCCTCTTGACTCGCGCCACCATAACTACAAAACGGTCGAAATCGTTCAAACTTGCTCTATTAGTGCGCACAGCGAGCTTCTTGCCCCAGGCGCAGTTGGCCCACCTCTGCTCCACCTCGGCATCATCATACGCCTTCTTGAGCACCTTCTTCGGGGGAGTCCTCGGTAGCTCGGGGATGGTAATGTCCGTAAGCGAGAGACGCTTGAAGTTAATCTGGGTCCGGACCATGTCGGGAGCGTCGACAAGCGCCCGGTTCTGGTCGATCACGTCAACGATCACGACGAGCTTACCATAATGGGGGCCATAGTTAATGAGGGCGACGCGCCCGATCTCCACAAATCTGCGGAATACCATGGCTGCCGGCTTCGCGAGACACGGGGCTTGAAATACGTGGTCACGACGGCTATGTCGACGGCCTTGCTGCAAAACAGAGGGAGAGAGTGACCCGCAGCAAGGCCCACTCCTTTGAGTTTAGGGTAGGATGGTCTGCGTCCTTGCTCCCCCCCCCCCCCTCCTTTCTAGTCCTAATTGCTCGTTCTCACATCCCGTTCCCCAGGTTCGCTCTAGTATGTGCAACGCAACTTCACAATGGTGTGACCACCCAATGGATAGATGGATGGATGGGTAGATGGATGGATAGATGGATGGGTAGATGGATGGATAGATGGATGGATAGATGGATGGGTAGATGGATGGATAGATGGATGGGTCGATGGATGGATAGATGGATGGGTAGATGGATGGATAGATGGATGGGTCGATGGATGGGTAGATGGATGGATAGATGGATGGGTAGATGGATGTATAGATGGATGGGTAGATGGATGGATAGATGGATGGGTAGATGGATGGATAGATGGATGGATAGATGGATGGGTAGATGGATGGGTAGATGGATGGGTAGATGGATGGATAGATGGACGGGTAGATGGATGGATAGATGGATGGGTAGATGGATGGGTAGATGGATGGGTAGATGGATGGATGTGCGGAATTGTGGATGACATATGTCATTACGGCACTGCAACCTCGCATTGAACGTTCATCCTACTTGGTCGCATTTTTATCGCCTCTCCGTCCATCCCCCGTGGACTTATAAGGACTGCTGCTATTGTTCAAGAGTATGGTGCTCAACCATACAAATCTCATTCACTTTATTTGCAGTTTTGTTTTCAGTAGCTACACATACATGTTTATTTCATATTTTATGACTAACACTTTAAAGCATATGAGAGGTTACAACATATGCCAAACCCCTTATATATTTTCTTTTAAACATATAGTAGTATTAATGTTCTGAAAGGGATGAGTTCAGAGTAACTAAATTATACATTGAGGAATATTTAAATATTGAACTTGAAAAATCTAAAGTTTGATTTTATTTCTTGTTTCTTTTCCAAATTATTTTATTCATTTACAAATCAATTTCAAGCTCTCTCTCTCTCTATACATAAATGACCTATCCAATCTATTATATATCAAAATATTATATTATTTCAACTTATTATGAATTTCTAAAAAAAATTTATAAAAAAATCCAATAATTATTAAACACATATACTTTAAAAAGTTATGTTCTAAAATATTGTAAAATTCTATATAATTACAAAGTTGTCACATGATTTGGCATTGGATGTCAAATCTTGTTGGATGTATGAAATTTAGTTTGGTTTAGTGGTTTTTCACCTATTTAGCTTTTTCATTAGTTGAATTTGTTAATATCAACAAGGATTTGAATATTTAGGTGGAAAAACTCCTTTGATTTGACATTCTTGTCAAAGCAAGACTTGTGAGTGATTTTGAAAAAGAGAAAGCTTGTGTTGTGAGGATTTGATTGATTGTGGTGATTTAGCCATTTTGATAAAACTTTAGGATTTTCTCTACTTACACTTGTATTCTAATATTTCTCTTTTGTGATATCAGAGATAACTTCACTTACTTATGTATAGATTCATTATCATCTTTTGACAAGATTATATTTTTTTTCTTCAATTTGTAGTGTAACACATTGAAATGGAATAGATTTAAGTTAAAAATTAAAAGTTAAAAGTTAAATGTAAAAATAAAAACATCTTATTTTTTATTATATTTAGTAGTATTTGCTAGAATATTATTTTATTTTTGGATTATTATTGTATAATTGGGTGTTATATATCATGTTGTTGTATTATAGTGTTGGGCATTAGAATACAAAGTGTGAGAGTAGTATGAGGTAATGTGTAGTACAAGGTTACAATATACTATTCCAATGCAAGGTGGTTGTGAGGTAAATCATAAGAGTCTATAGGCATAGTAGGATTGTTGTGCAAAGTGTTGGAGTAGTGCAAAACATTGTTACAATTGAAGCACCAAGGTTGCAGTGCAAGGCATAGAACATTTTGTTATAGATTGTAGTATAGTACAATATTTTTACTTGTTAACATTGCAATATAGGTTACAATATTTTTTTCTCATTGATAGTGCAATAAGATTGCAATATTTTCCTTTTGTTATAAGGTTATTGTCAAATTAGGCAATTAACAATTTGAGGTTGCTTCTATATTAGTAGGAAGTATTTTCATGTCATTGTAGGTAAAATTGATCTAATTATATTTTGCATTGGCTACACAAGTGCAACAACTTGTGGCAATCATTAATGGTTGATAATGACACATTGTGATGCTTCTTTGCAATGCTTTGGAATAAGCTACAATGTTATATAGTAACACAATGTCGTATTACGTGAAGTTTGGCTTAAGAATGCACTAGGTATCTGATGTGGAAGATAAAAGAAAAATTGCAACAACAAATCCTAACAACTCTAATAGATTCTTAAACAAATTATAATTAAAAATTACCAAATATAATAAAAAATTGATCAAATTCAATCAAAATTTCAAAGGAATTACATAAGAATACAAAGTATTTCTAAAGATCTTTTAAAGAAATCATAAAGAAATAACATAGAAATTTAAAAATATACTAAAATAGAAATTTTAATAAAATATCAAAATAGAAACTTTAATTAAATTTTAGTCAAAACCTAATCAAATTCTAATCAAATCTTAAATAAACCCTAGTCAAAACCTAACAAATCCTTATCAAATCCTAATCAAATCTTAAACAAAACTTAACCAAATCTTAAATAAATCCTAGTCAAATCCTAACCAGATCCTAATCAAATCCTAAAATAATCTTAACTAAATTTTAAATAAATCCTAGTCAAACCCTAAAAAATCCTAACAAAATTCTAATCAAATTCTAAACAAATCCTAACCAAATCCTAACCAAATCCTAAATAAATCCTAGTCAAATCTTAAATAAATCCTAACCAAATCTTAACCAAATCTTAATCAAATTCTAAAAAAATCTAAACAAACCTTAACCAAATCCTAATCAAATCCTAAACATATCCTATCCAAACCCTAAATTACGCCAAGTAATTTTTACAGTAATTCTAAACCTCAATAATTAATGAATGAACCATTGATTTTAACTCAAATTTTAAATTATCTCTTAAAAATTAAGTTGATAATAAGAACAAAAAATTTAAAGAAGTTCAAACTCACCAAAAAGAAGATCGACCCAATATTTGCTCGGATGTTGGCCAGCCTCCTTCTCTAATCCAAATATTGAATTTCCAGTACTAATATCTCTTTATTGAACCATTCAATTGATCTCAAATTTTTCACATATGTATGAAAATAAGTCTACTACTCACACACATAAATTTTACTCCAATCCAACTGATAGATTACAAGAAATCTTAGAAACCCTCACTAAACCTAAAATTCTACTTTTTGAGATCCCAACCCACTTAAACCTCAATAATCCTTGATCCAACCTATCAATCAAGCTCAAACTCATAGCATATATTGAACACATATAAATCCACAAACCTTCAAATTTTTACTTGTGGATCTACTACCAAACTTACAAAATTCTCCAAAAAAATATCTCCATTTTTAATTTACAAATCCAGAGTCACCCAAAACAAACTCTGATGTTGCAAAGCCCTTACAAAGTCAATGCAAATCTAAATCACTCCAAAACAATGTTTATTGAAACCTTATCAAGTTTGCCTTCTAATTATACTCTCCAATCTGCCAAAGAACCCCAAAATCATCGTTGGAGCTTGATTTTGTCCATCAGGGTCTGATTTCGATCCTAGTTCATAGCTAGTCTCTCTGGGTATCAATATCTAGTTCTTTTAGATAATTTTTGCTGAAAACTACTTTGAACTTCTTTCCAAAGGTGCTTACATATACATATATATATATATATATATATATATATTCCAATCTACCTTATTTTGCTCTATTTGTGGTCCTACAAAGTGAGTAGAAGCCTATTTTGCAAAAAGGCAATATTAGCACCTTTAATTTTCCTACCCCTTGACTATTATCTATTTTTTCAAGATAACTTGTTACAATATATTTGAAATAAGATCTTCAAAAATATGATATTTTCTTCACCCTTTCACCTATTAGCCATTTTACATCACAACATTGCAGCATAGGTCACAATATTTTTTTTCATTGATATTGCAATAGGATTGCAATCTTTTTCTTTTGTTACAAGGTTATTATCAAAGTATGTAATTTACAAATTGAAGTTGCTTCTATGTCATCAAGAAATATTTTCATGTCATTGTAGGTAAAATTGATCCAATTGTATTTTGCATTGGCTACACAAGAACAACAACTTGCAGCGATTATTCATAATTGACAATGATACATTACGATGCTTCTTTGCAATGCTTTGGAATAAGCTACAATGTTGTATGGTAACACAATAATATAGTGAAACATAAAAAGATGGATTTTATAATAGAATAGCCTAGTAAAAAGATACAGTAGTAAAATACAAATAAATGATAGAAAGGTAGTAAAAAATTTTAGTATAAATGCTGCATTTCTATAGAAAATATATATATATATATATATATATTTATTTTATAAGGCCATAAATTAGACAAAATAAATTAGATTAAAAAATTTAATTATATATACATCTTTAAGAAGGAATTAAGAATAGATTTTAACAAAATTTACCTTAAAATATCAAGAATTGATACTCAAAGAAAACCAATTATAAATAAGGATTGAAATAAGATCCCAAGGTACAAAACCATGCACCTATTGTAATTTTAAGATTCTTTTGCTAATCAAAGAAGACAATTAGGGAGAAATATTTTAAAAATTTATTTAGAAATTAATTTTAAGTAATTTAAATATATATTAAGTTTATAAGGGCTTTTCAAAGTAAAAGATGTACTTAGTGGTTTTAGATTTTGAAAAATAAAAAGAATTTTATAAATTTTAAGATTATATGAAAATCATAAAAAAATTATGAGTGAAATTTTATAAGTTTATAGATGTAACAATCTTAAATATATTTCATGAATTTGATATCAATTGAACAGTTAGATTGAATGATATGAAAGTTTTATCAAGTTAGGATCTCAAATATTTGAAATTTAGAATCAATGAAAAGCTATGCAATCCTAAAAAAATACCATTTTGATT